GACACTGGTTCCCACTGTCCTGTGGTTGCTCACATTTGAAATTTACTTCTTGGGTGCTGTAGCTCTCATATGGATTGGGGAATGGCAGATGGAAATTGCAGACAAGCTTCCTGTGCTTGGCTTGGAGGGTAGAAAATGTTGCAAGCATCATGGAAATATCTCTGTGGGCAGGAGACAGAGACCCCAGCGTGCCAGAGCAAGTGAGTGGAGAGCTCTCATTTTTCACATGTAAATTTGTCTGCCCTCTTTCTGCTGTGCTCTGTGCTGCCTACTGCTCATCCCTGTACTCTTTATTAATTACACTTGGCAAATATGTGCTCAGGGCTACTGATGAGTTGTGTTAATCTCTGTGCTGATACAGCAGGATCACTCAGAGAAGAGATGTCTCCTGAAGTGAATCAGAGCTGTCCTTTCAGATGTCTGTCTGACACCTACTTTGGCTGCTGTGCTCTTCTTCACTGCCCTCTCTTGTCTCTAATATGAATGTCCCCTCACAGAGGAGTGCAGGGTCTCCACACAGCCTTGGTGTGGTGCTTTTCACTTGTTCTGAAGTTCATTGTCAACCTGCTGAAGGAACTGCAGTGCCTTTGCACTCTTAATTTGTGGGAAACAGGCATTATATATTCCACTCTGAGGTATATGCAAAGTACTTTGCCAGTTTAGAATTGGCAAGATCTAGAGCTGGGTTTAATGACCTGAGGTAATTTTCTTCGTAGTAAAATTTTATTGGCATGGAAGATTGTTACACCACCAAACACTCTGAAAAGCTTCTGAGTCCTTTTGTGATTTGTGGGCTTGGGGATTGCTGATAATTGACTGAACAATAGGGATTCCTTCAGGAATGTGTTTTTGAGATGGAATGAAATGTGGGCTAATGTTCCTGGTTGTAATTTTTCTGCTTTCATCCCAGCCAAGTTGGGTTAAGACTCAAGGCTGCTGAATTGGGCAGTTTTGGACACTTGCTGTCTCTTAATTTAAAGAAGTGGTCCATCACATTAAATCTGGATTTAGTGGTTTAGTATGCTATAGAGCATTGTGTCAGGATTCCTCTGTGCCAGAGGCTCTTAATCTGTATTGAAGTATAGACCATTGAAGGTAAATGATTGACAAGTGTTGGCATTTTTTTATATAAGCCTTAAAGCAGGCTATTTAGTAGACAGTGAAAACAACTCCAACCTATATGCAATGTGGAGATGCATGTGTGAAAAATAAAGCACATAAGAAAATTCTTGTGGAACTGGAACAGCACTTCTTTCCAAAGAAAATATATTTTTTCTGATTATCCTTTCTCCATTCCCATTTCTGTCTACAAAACCAAAACAATTTGTTAAATTATTCAGGTCATTAAGTTTCGTGTAAGCTCAGCTTGAAATTGCATTTTCTGGAGGGATTGTATTGCCTTAAGGGAGCTGTAATTCAGCCTCCCTATTTCCACATTCTGTCCTGCAGACTCTTCCCCTGCTTTTTCATTCTCAACCAGCTGAGCTGCTTGGTGTCTCAAGGGACACCTGCCCTGGGGTGTCCTGGGAAACACAGTGTAGTGTGTGGAGCCTAGCCTGCAGGAGATGAGGAAATTTCATATCTGAGCTGCATTTCCTGAAGTGAAAAGTACGTTCCCATTGCAAAATGCAGTTTAACATTGAGCTGACTTAGAATTAATTTTGGAAAGATTGGTTTGATGAATAGAAACAGCTTAATTTGGCACTATAAAGGTGTTTTCTTTATTTTGATTAAATAATGCCTAAGTGTAAGTTTTTGCTGTTTCTGAATTGTTTGGAACTTAAGAAGTTTGTATTTCTTTTCCCTAGAGCAAAATGTTTTAATTTATGTTGCAGAGTGGGCATTTTCTATGGGGTGGCAATTCCAGATTTCTCTCAGTTCAGGGGAAGAAAATGTTTTTGTTTTGAAATAGTGCCTTAATTGTAGAATCTCCAATTTTCAGTAGAATTCAGCTTTTAAGAAGAAAAACATCAAGATTTTCATGCAAAATTACACTGTCATGGAAAAAAAAGTAATTTGTTAGTGTTCACAAAAACAAGATGAGCCTCTTTGACTACAAAGCAGAAATTGGAATCAAATGTCTCAGCCTGAGTCAAGTAAGGTCTTTCCCTTTCAAATTTTTCTTTTTCCTGTCAGAATTCAGTTTTGGAAAACATACTATTTTTTCCATCCTTTTTCAACTAAAGCATTCAAACAACACAATGTCAGAAAATCTGGTACTTTCCCACATCTGCCCCTGCCTCATGTTTCTTCTCAGCATGGCTGGGGCAGCCTGTTGGTGCCTCAGAATATCCTCTGGAAGGGTTTGATGTTTCCTCTGCAGAGCTGAGTCAAACACAGCCCATGAAACAGCTCAGGATCCAGCCCTGCCTCTCAGGCTCTCGTCTGTGTCTCAGCCCCGTGGTGGTCCCTGAGCAGCTGAGTTTGCTCTGTGGCAGTGTGTAGGGAAAAAGTGCTTTTGCAGCTTTTCTTGAGAAGGTTGTGTCTTCAGACTCTCAGATCCTCTCTGGTTTTCAGACTCCCAAACCCTTACAAGAGTGGTCTTTATTGAATCTGGGGTGTTTTTTCTCAAAAGTAAGTGAGAGCAGAGTGGAAGCTGCCTGGGTTAGTGGTGTGGGAATGTTACCTGTCCTGGGCTCACCTGGTGAGTGATTTTAGGGACAGGTTGCTGTAGGTATAACCATTGCCTCAGAAAACTCCTGCTATTTCCTGGGACTGCATGTAAGACACTGCTCAAGGGATGCTTGTGCATCACCAAGTAGAGATGGATGTTAGTCAGTCATCCCGGGCAAAAATCCAGAAAAGTCATACTAAACAACATGCCTTTACTATGAATTTATACCCAGAAGCTGAGTAGCATTCAGCCCACTTCTGTAAAGCTGCTGTTATCCTGGGATTTGCAGGGTGATAATAGATAAGTGATGTATTCAAAAATATAGGACATAGGAGATCTGGGGAGAGAGACAAAGAGCTGGGAGAGTATGGATGCTGCCTTTAGTTTTAATTGCAATTTAGGGTAGCAATAAGGTAGAATCTGTTGAAATTTGATCAAGACACAGAGATTTTATTTACAATGTTTAGGAATAAATCCAGGATCCACTGAACTCACCTGTCTTCAATGTGCTTAGACTTTGAAACTCAAAAACTTTGTGAAACCTCACCCCGGCTGTGAGCAATACGAAGGGTCCAATTTCAGGCAGGGCAGGGCTTGTGCCATAGTGCTTGGCTTCCTAGAGAGTCTTGAGAGGAGTGCTGGCTGAGTGCCTGTGGGATTGTAGGGAACATCCTAGAAATGTCATTCTCATTGGGTTTTAGCTGGGAGAAGGCTGCCCTGCTGGGTGTGAGGGGTGGAGGCACACAAACCATCCAAAGCTTGGTTGCTGCAGCTTGCAGCTGGTTCTTCCCCCTTTGTATGGGAAGATGTGTGCAGGGTTTAGGCTGCATTAAAAAGGATGTTGGCCTTATTTCCCCAAAGGGTAGTGTTGGTTTCAGCTGACATGGACTTGCATATGCTGACTCAAATCTGCCTGGCAGGTTTCTTTTCACACCCTGCTGGAAGCAGCTTGGCTATTATCTTCTTCCTAAAGGTCTCTGCATTGGGAAATAAAGGGAAAAATGCAATAGGGGACGGTAAAAGTGAATCAAGGAGAGGGAGGAATGCTTGGAGCATCTATTCTGAAGTCATTAAGATGGGCACTGAGTGCATAGTCACGTACCAAGGTCCCTTACAATTTGAACAGGTTTTTTCCTGGTATTATGCTGACAGTAAACGAGTGCTGCAGCAGCTGTGATATTGATTAATCCTTTGGCATTTTTCTGCAAAGCTTTAAACTTTGCTCTCTCTCACAGCTGGAGCAGATGTGAGAGAAGCTGGCCTGTGCTTGAATCCTGCAAGGAGGAAATGATGCTGAAATGTTAAAATGATGCAAAACAAAAATGAAGAGGTGCCCTGGAGCTCTGCCTTGAGGCTGGTCCTGTAGAATCCAAAGGAATGAACTGTATGACATCAGTTATGCTAAAAAAGCAAGGAGCAGATTCTCAAATGCTCTTACCTTCCCTCTATTCCCTCAGCCCACGTGAGCCTGGGAGCTTGCACAGAGGCTCCCAAGCTATCAGAATGCATAACTGCCTTTCTGGAGAGAAGGACATTGGGCAATGTAGCTTGTAGGTAGGAGGATTCCATTTGCCTGTGAAATCTCAGGTCACAGCACCAGGCAGATCAGAGGGAAAGTGTATTCCTCTGTGGTCTGCCCTGTACTGCTCAACTCCCTCTCCACCAGCCTCAGTTTTGCAGGGGCATGACTCAGGAGTGTTTTCTCCAGTAGTCAGTGAGTCCTGGAGCCTCTGACGGTCCTTGGGCACTAAAGATGCAAGTGAAGGTCTGTCTTGCTCAGTGCATAAGCAGAATGTCACACTCTGTGTCCCTCTTACTGCTGTGGGAAGGTGATGGCTTGTAGGAATTCCCATGCTCTGGAGTCAGTGACAGCATATGGAGAACACAAAGCTGACTGTAGGCAAGATGGACTGTTTTGGTGGATGGGGATCTAGATAAAAAAAATAACTTGCTAGTTCTTTCTGTGCAGACTGAATAATTAATGATAAAATGTTGAGAGACAAAAGAAATTGACTGTAATTTTAGATTGAACTATTGAATTAACAAGGGTGCATTTGATTCCATCCCTGAATTTGAATAACCATAGTTGAAGAGAGGTCAGCTCACAAAGTCTGATTAATTCCTGGTGGCATGTTTTATTTCAAATGCAAAACATTTTGGGATTAAAATAAGTGTTACTGGTTATACAACGCACTAAGCTAATGATTTCCCATTTTATTTTTTAAACCTACTTTATCCTATAATACTGCAACTTTAATGGATAAATGCTCAGCTCTCCTTTAGGTGGTTTCAGATGCCCTGTGTATTGTTACAAAATCTAACATCAACCTTTTTTTTTTCTCCTCTTTTCCCTTTCTCTCTCGCTCCCTCCCTTTCCCCTCTCTAGGTGATTCTCATTCTGACAAAGCTCTACGACTTCAACCTGGGGAGTGTAACGGAGAGCTCACTGTGGAGGTAGGTGGAACATGGAAATCACAGCACTGTGTCTGGGGCTGACCCGGGCTGTGGGCATGGGGCAGTGTCTGAGCTCATCACAGGAGGAGCTGGGAAAGAATCTGAGACAAATGGAGCTGCTCTTTGGAAAAGGGATGCAAGATTAGCACACATTCCTTTAATGAAGTGGGGTCTGCAAACAAGAGGGTTTCATCACGAAATGGCACTTCCTTGACATGCAGAGGAGCTTGGTTCCCTTCTCACCTTCGAGTCTCCTTCCTCTCTCTACTGTGAGGCTGGCAATGAGAACACGCTCTATAGATGGGTACACACTTGCTAGAACTGTGTCTGAGAAGGCATAAAACACAGTGTATGACATAATCTTAGCTGATCCTTGTTCCTCACCCCTGTGAGCTAAGATGGTCATCTTGGTGGTGACTGTGTGTTGGGCTGTAAGGAGAGTAGCTGCTGAAGGACTGGAGGTGCCATAGTGTCTTCTCCACTGTGGGTGTACTTGGATGGTGTCACATAGCTACCATGTTCCTAGTCTGGCATGGGAGATGGACTGTCCTGCCCTGGGGAAACAAGTTTCTGGACAGTGTGTGTGTTTGGAAGTGTGTGTCTGCATTTAAAATAAAGAAATAACTTTAAATCCCCTCAGTCCCCAAACTCAGCCCTATAAACAGGTCAGTTCCTTGATGTTTGAAATCACCAAATTGTTTTATCCTGCCTGTGGAGTGGTATGCCTTTAAAAGAATTGCTATCAGGTGTTTTTTACCCTAGGTACATTAAAAAAAGAAAGAAAAAGAAACAAAGGCAGCCAGGGGTGGTGAGACCAAGTGCTTTGTTTTAGATTTACCTGGTGTATTATAGCTATTGTGAAACCTGCTTAAGGTGTAGTTGGTGGAATGGTCAGTGCATTGTAGCCTTTGCTTACATGTGAGCCCTTCCTGGCAGATGGTCTCTTTCTTCACAGGTGATTTAAAAGCCTCTGTTTGGAGCAGGCTTTGGCCATTTGCTGTAGGTTTATTCCTGTAAATGTATTTAAGGGTTAATTATTCAGTAGAGCTCTTGAAACTTCTCAATTTGAACAGTACTTAAGAAGCCTAATTGCACTGCACCATGGTAATCTGCAAAAGTATAAATAACCATGGAGCTAATAAGAGAGAACAGTCATTTCCACTTACCCTGGTACTTTTCAAGGTATTAATGCCTTAAAAAACTTTTGCCTCTTTACTGTAGCAAGTAAAAATGGCACAGTGATTGTACTTTAAATGTAATTGCCAAACAATCTGCCCTGCATAAATAATGTAACAAACAGGCAAACCTTGTCTTTATCCTGAGCTTGCAACATCACCTGAGCTCTGCAGAAAGGTAATAGCAGCACCCCTTTTTGGAGGCTTCCCAAAGGGATAGAAATGTAATTAATCATCAATACAATTAAAGGCATCCAGCCCTTGGTCAGCTGGGAAAACCCAGGGCTTTGTGGGAATGCGTTCTGGAACACTCCTGCAGCTGGTCTCAAGTGAAATAGGGGCCAGTGGGGGCCTGGAGATTCAGAGAGCTTGAGAAGTTAGAACTTCTCAGGTTCTTTTGTAAGTCTGTGAGGAAAGCTCAGGGTAAAAGCTAGCAGGTAGATTCCTGGGCTCTAAACCTTATTTTCTGCTTGGAAAATTCAGGAATAAACCATGTTTTACTTGACAGGGGAGTGTGGAATCTTGGAGAGCATCTATGAGTTTCTCTGCAAAGGACATTGTAGAAATGCAAATAGATACTAAGTGTAAGAAATAAGCCAGAGAAATACTCCTTTTCTTGGGATTTCCTGTTCTATTTGCACATTCAGGCCCCTGAATCTTTCCATTATTTAAATTGGTGTTTTTCAATATTTTCTTTTCGTTTTTGAGACCCTGAAAATTTTAAAAGGAGGATTTGTCTTTGCAGAATGAATGTAAGCCTCCTGACAAGAGGTTTGCTTGCTTTAGATATTTTTTGTAGACTCTTTGAGCCCCCAGAGAGATCACAAACTGAATGCAACTTCAACTGTGTATCAAAAGATGATCTGTACATTTCCAAGGGGTTTGGCTTTTTTTTCCTGTGTTGTGGAAATATAACTAAGCCAGGAGCCCTGCCCATCTGAGCTGTGGTGCTGTATGATATCTATCCTGACCACTTGGCAAATACAGTTGCCTTCACAAGAGAGGAATGTGGCTTTTGTGGCAGAGAGCAATGAATTACACAGCAGAGGATGCTGAGATAGAGCAGAGTGCAATGCAATCTCCAAATACCATCTTGCCTCCACCTGCTCCCTGCATCAAAATCTCCTCCTCAGTTCCTCCTGGGTTTATAGCATGAGAGGCTTCTTTTAATGGAAAACTGAATTGCCATATAAAAAGAATTTCTAATCCCTGCATCTAAATACAAAAACAAGTAAATCAATAGGAAAACATCCTGAATGTAATTAAAAAAGGCAGTGAGAATAACAGAAGAAGAGAGGAGAATTAGAAGTTACATTTGAAAACTGCTCCTGTATCAGGCTGGTATGAGCTTAGACAGGGGAAATTCTAGTCAGCATTTGAATGCAAGAACACAGACATTGCTCTAATATCCAGATTCATGCTTCTGGGGCTCAAACAATCACACAAAAGGTCTTTATTGCTACTGAAGCAGCCAGCCTTGAAGCAGCCAGCTTCAAGGAAAAAACACACACCCACACACCCCCTCTTCCTTGTGAATGCCACATCTCTTCTTCATCACAGGAGATACCTGTCGGTTGCGGTTTAGATTTTTGTTTTTCCCACTGAGTTGAGTGGAAGTGATAATTTTCCTCCTATGAAAGGAAGCTACTTTATTGCTACTTTACTATGCTTGTGATGGTGTGAGTTGTTTATGAATTTCTGGAGAGATGTCTTTTTCATAGGTCAACAAATATAACTGTAAAAATTATTTAAGCTTTTAGAGATGCAAACCCTTCATCAGTTCTCATTGCCTAGTGAATTATCTAACTGTGTAGTAAAGAATCCTACCTGCTTTAAATTAAAAAATGAATTAAGGGATGGCCATATGCTTTCCGTAGAATTTTTTTCACCCCACTAACACCTCTTCTCCATCAACAAAAGCAAAAAAAATCCCTTTAAATCTGTAAACTTACATGGTTTTGATTTGAAGTACTGTTGGAGCACCTCTAATTCCCAGACTCTCTGTAGGCCAGGATCCCTGCATTAAAACTTCATTGTCCATGAGGAACTGTAAGCATACAGGAGTGATCTGTATGAAATATGAACTCTCTAAAGAGTAGGTGCCAGGCTCCTCACAGGAATTGTTAAGTTGTACAGTTATTGAGATAGGGTTGTGGGAATATTTTGGATAAGTATTTATAGTTGATATTGTACTATTTGAAATGTTTTCAGCTGTTTCAACCAGTGTGTATTGAGCAGTTTCTTTCTGCTAAGATAACTGGAATGAAAGGTTTTCCATTTTTGCCTGCTTTAGTATTCAGGAATGTATTAATTTATTTTATTTATTTGGATTGCAGTAGCTAAAAAGACAGCTTCCATCTCAAGGAAATTCTCAATCTTAGGTGAAGACAGAGAGACAATAGGGTGATGCAGAAGACAGGAGAGGCACAAGTGAGCAAGGAGCTATTTGTGATCAATGCCACAGCCATGACTGCAACACATCAGCTAATTGGGCAGTGGGGAGCAGTTTAGATTTTCTTCCAAAGTGCAAGCACTTGCATGTGTCAGCTCTGAGTCCCTGCTACCATTTTACCCACCTCAGATGGGTCCCCTGGAGTTCCCCTCCTCTGGCTGTTTTCCTGGCTAAATTATCTGATTGTACATAATGCTGGCCCATGCATTAACCCAAAATTGCGACTAACTATTTCTGTTTAAGAGGCTAAAATGCTGATGAAGAAATTTTTATATATATTTTTTTTCCTGTTTATTAACCAAGAAATTATGTCTCCATGGCAGCAGTCAAAAATCCCCAAGCATTTTTTTACTCTTGTGGCTGCTGTGCCTAAAGAGGTTAGTCTGTTGTCTCAGTCTCTTTGTTGAGTTAGAAAAAAACCCTTTCAGCTTTTTTAATAGAGGCAGCTGCAAAATGCAGCAGCTGCAGCCCTAGTTTGGAGCAGAGAGGGGTAAAACCCCCCCATCTTGGTTGCAGGCTGCCTCATGTTGTTCATTGCTGTTTCATTCAGCTCTGTTTGAAATACCAGCAGGCTTCACATTGTTTCCTCCCATGGAATTGCCTCTTAAGCCTCCCACAGTCCCCAGAGACCCTCAGCATGTGCCAGTGTATCTCTAGCATTGCAAAAATTTCCCAGCTCATGCTGATTTCTGTGTCCTAGGTTTGTTTGTGGCATGTAGAGCTGGCTTCATAGGGCTGCTCTAGGTGGGAAAGGGTGAGTGTGGTGTGATGTGAACCTTATCACTCTCTACAACTCCCTGAAAGGTGGCTGTGGTCAGGTGGGGTTTGGTCTCTTTTCCCAGGCAGCAGTGACAGAACCAGAGGACACAGTCTCAAGCTGCACCAAGGGAAAATATAGGTTGGATATTAGGAAAACATTTTTCATGGAAAGAATGATAAAGTTCTGGAATGGCCTTCCCAGGGAGGTGATGGAGTCACCATCTCTGGATGTGTTTAAAAAAGGATTGGATGTGGCACTCAGTGCCATGGTTTAGTTGAGGTGTTAGGGCTGGGTTTGACTCGATGATCTTTAAGATCTCTTCCAACTCACTGATTCTGTGAATTCTGTGAAGTGCCCTTTTTGGGACCTGAGGCTTAGTCTGGTTGCTCCAGATGTAGCAGCTTCTTAGACTGGTGAGTAAAGAAGTCAGGGATTGGGAGATTCAAAAAGCTTGACTCAAATTTCCATATCATCCCCTGTGAAACAAGCTAAACCTGAAATAGGTCATGACAGAGCTTTCTTAAGAGTGTTTTTATGGCAGTGTCAATACAATATTTAGGCTGCATTTTGAATGGTAAATTCTGGTTTGTGCCACAACCTCTTGTTTAGTACT